GCACAAACCCACCCTGCTGTTCCAACCAGCGCGGGCGCGTAGCCTCCCCGTTGTCAGCCTGGCGGGGGCTGGGGAGGGGCTGTCACCTGCAGCCCCTTCCCAGGGGTGTGGGATGTGCCGGGGGACACAGGTCTCCAAGGATGCTGGGAGCCTGATGGGAGGGGTCCCTCTGGGGCAGGTGGGTGGCACTGCCTAGCTGCCCCATCTGCAGTAAGCCCATGTGGTGGGGCAGGACCCTGCTCTGCTGGCCAAGCTTGGCAGGTATCAGGACACCCCTGCACCAGACGAGCCACCCTGTCTCGTCTCCCTGTCTGCCTGTTTTGCACCCAAGGCACCAGTGCCGTGTGGTGCTGGGCTCCACATGCCAGGTGGTGGCAGACTGCACAGGCTGTGCTCCATGGCCCCAGCAGCTCCTGTGACCCCCCTTGTCCCTCTGGTTATGTCTAGGGATGCCCCTTGCCAGGGCCAGGACAGGATTGCAGCCCAGGCTGGGGGGTCTATGGGGAAGGAGGCAGCACCCGGTCTCACCTGGTTGCCCTGTGGGGTGGGGCTGAAGTCTGGTGCTGATCCCAGCCAGCCCTTCTCCCCATCCCGGGCTGAGTACACACAGGGCAGGCTCCTGGGGCTCCCCCACCCCTTTTCTCAGGGTTTAAATGAAGTCCCAGGCAGGGAGCACACACCTCCTCTCCAGCTAGCCCCTTTGACCAGAATCTGGCTCTTCAGCAAGTCCCAAGCTGCTCCTGCCCCCTTTCCACCTCCTTGCTTGGGGTGCCAGCTGCCAAGCTGCAGGGGGGGTGCTGTGCCCGACGGGCGTCCTGGGTGCCCCAGTCCCACAGGGACCTATTGCAGGGCAGAGGGGAAGGACCCTAGCCACCCCATAGTTCTGGGTGATGGAGCCCAGCTCAGGCCCAATGGGTGCAGTCACTGTGTTTGATGGGGAGCTGATGGCGCCAGTCCCTGGGGAAGCCACAGGAGCACCCGATAATGGCACTCAATTGTATTTTCATTTTTTAATGGGGGAATTATCCGCCGATGGTGCAGTTAATCATTCATCTATCTTTCCCTGGCCTGGAAGACGGGCTGCCAGCCAGAACCAGCACAATCAGCCAGGGAGGGGAGGTAAAAGCCTGGCTCGGCCTGAATACAAATGTGTCTCGTGCAGCTACTGCCCTCTGGCCAGCCCTGCATGCTGGCAGGGGGCTGGTAGGAGTCCTCACACGCTGCCCACGAGCAGGGGCTGCTGCTGCAGTGGCAGCAGCTTTGGGGCATGCAAAATAAGTCTGCTGCCCTTCCAAGGGCAACTAACAGCTGGCCACGCTTGGCTGGCTATCCCCAGGGGCTGGCTGTCCCTGGGGGACATCTGTCTGTGATCTGCCTGGGAGCTGTGAGGAGGCAGGAGGGGCTGGCAGAGCAAAGGGCTTCTAGAAAGCTGGATATCCAGCTCTGGGCTCCATGCTGGGAGACAGGGCACAGGGCAACAGTGTCCTGGGGAGATGTCCTCACGCAGACTGACTGGGGAGGATGCTCAGTCCTGGCAGCCCAACTCTGCCTTTCTGCACTCCACATCCCCACTTCTGGCTGCCTTGGACATTACCCCATCTCTCTGCTTCCCTGAGAGATGCTGTTTGTGCATGCCAGGCCTGGCAGCTGGGTCACCCTCGACCAGTCTCTCCCTTGGCAAGAGGTTGTTCAGCCCTGGGCTGCGGTCCCACCCTGCTCTGGTCCTGCCTGGCTGCCCAGACTGAGGGTGAGCATGGCTCCCATTCCTCCAGCCCTGTGCAGAGAGGCCAGCCCCATGCTGCTTGTGCCAGGCAGCCTTTCTCACAGCTGGCACAGCCTCCACCAGACATGGGGGACACTGTCCCCATGCTGGGCCAGTGCCCACAGTGGTGTCTGGGCCAGTGCCTGGAAGACGCTTTGCTGGCCCAGTCCCCATCCTGGCGTGGGCAGTGGCTTCAAAGGGGCTGCAGAGAATTTGGGGACCTGCCTGGGCAAAGATCTCACTATAGGCAGTGGTGCTGGGGGGGCTGCGCTGCCCAGGGCTGTCACTCCCTGGTACTGGCTGTGGCATTGGGCTGGGGTGCAGGGCCTCACCCCCCAGGAACAGGCAAGGGTGCAGGGCTGGGTTGCAGAGTGTCCACCTCCCAGAAATAGGCAGTGGCACAGGGCTGGGTTGCAGGGGGTGTGTATGCGTGCGTGTGCGTGCACACGTGGGTGCGTGTGATTGTGTGTGTGCACTGCTGGGATTGTGCTACACGTGTCCACCTACACCCATCCATGGCTGCGAGCATGGGGGTGGGGACACCTGGGGGTGTGCGCCTCTGGGTACCCTGTGGGTGTGCAGCTGTGGGGGGGGGGTGTGTGTGTGAGCGTGCGTGTGAGCAGCACCTCATGTGCTGTGCCAGCGTGAGTGTGAGCGGTGGTGGGTGTGAGTGGTGTGTCATGTGCCACGGTGGCGTGCGGGCGTGCTGTGTCACCCGTGTCTGTGTGCATGAGCAGGGGAGTGGCACCGTCCCGTGGGTAATGCTGTCTTCTCTTTTCCTTTGCAGAAGACCGGCCACTCGCGGCGCTTCGGGCGCTTCACGCATGGTGCGTTGAGTTACCAGGACCTGGCTTCCCCCACAGCTGCCCTGAGCGTGCCAGGATGGGGTCCAGCCACACCACCATGCTGGAGGGGGGCAGTAAACAGAGGCTGTGCAGGGATGGGCTGCACCTTGCCAGCCCTGAAACAGGGTCCCAGTAAGCTGGGGGCTCCCAGTGTCCCCCAGGAGGCCAGGCTGCTCCTGGCCCCACAACTCTAGTTCCTCAGGAGTTGCCAGGCTGCTGTGGCTGTGCTGGGGGTCCTGGTGCAGTGGCAGTGTGCCAGGCTGAGGAGGGGTGGCTTGGACTGGGGGGAGCAGCGTGGCCTCCCACTGTGCTGTGACAGTGCAGTGGAGGGGAGCAGTGACGGGGCAGTGGCCATGTCCCTTGTCACAGGGGTCTGTTGCAGCAGCTTGTGAGGGCTCGAGCAGTGGTGAGGGGGAAAGGCTGGCCCTCGTCGACACCATGGCATCCACTTCTCTGGGAGTGGTGCTGCTCTGGCCTGGCTGCATCCTGCCTGTGGGGAGGCTCTCTGATGCTTTACCACAAGTATCCCTGCTCTATCAACCAGGGCTGTGCGGTGGGGCATGGCTGTGTCGTTCATCACTTATCACCAGTGGGGCAGGGGATGTGTGTGTGTGTGTATGTGTGCCAGAGGGAAGGTGCTTGCACATGGCACATGTGTCTGTGTGCCTGGGAGCACCCAGCTGGGGCACAGCCTGAGGTTCTGGCCCCAACCTGAAGTGCCCTGCAGAGCACAGGGATTTACCGGTGCTGTGGCAGTGAGGCCAGCCCATGAGGCAGCTCCAGCAGCTCTGGGGACAGGTGGTGGCTGTTCTGCTGGGCAGGATATGGCCATGGCATAGGAAGGGGATGGTGCTGAGCACTGCACAGTAGAGACAGTGTTTGTGAGGAGGGTCTATGTACAGTGCTGGAGTGGCCTGCAGCAAACATGGGTGCAGAGTAGAGACATGGTGGGGGATTCTGGGGGAGACAGACCTGTTTCAATGTCCAATGGGCACTTGGCCCCTGCCATGAGTCCAGACAGGGCATGGGGTGCTCCTCGTGCGATCCTGAGATGGGCAAACGCCCAGTCCTGGACCCGTCCCCAGACCCAAAGCCTGGCACAGGGTGGCAGGCTCTCCAAGCCCGAGTGGCCCACCCAGATGCTGTCTTGGCAAATCCCTGCCCCATGGCAGTGCAGGAAGATGCTGGGGACAAGGTCCCTCCCCACTGCCCCCGCGTCTCTGCAGGCCGGGCCAATAACCAGGTGTTGATGTCTCTCTCTCTCTTGCTGCCCCTATGGAAGCGAAGTTTTCCGCTCCTGCAGGAAACAAAGCTACGGTAGGAAGACCCCTGCCCAATGCCAGTTCCATCCCCAAAGTGGGCCCCATGCTCCAGCCTGCTGCCCTGCCCTATTGCTGCCACCATCCCCCTGCCCTGCCTCCCCATTCCCTTTCCCACCACTGGCACCATCTCCCTTCCTCCCCATACCTAATGCTGCACCTGTTCCCTTTGCCTGCCCTCGCCCTGACTGCCTTTTCCACCCCTGGTCCTGCTTTTCCCTGCTGGCAGCTTGTCCCTGCAGGTCTCAGTCATGCCCCCCACTCTGCAGCTGCCTGGGTACTTCTCTCCTGCCCCCAGCGCCAGTGGGTCTGCAAGAGGCAGCACCAGCCTGGCCTGTTACCCTTGTGTCCCCTCACTCCTTGCTCTCCTCCCTCTTCCCCAGACTCGGAGACAGGCGAGGATGAGCCCAGTGATCCCCAGGTGACGCAGCGCAGTGAGCTCCAGGATGAGACGGCTTTCAGCACCCCCACAGGTGAGCAGGGGGCATCCAGCTGGCCCTCTGCAAGGGCTCTGCTGCCCAGCTCTGGGGGTGTCCATGGAGGGGGGGAGATATAGTCTACCCATGCAAAGAGGGGAGGGCTTGGGGCAGCCTGCTTAGGACACCTTGGGACACCGTGTGGCTGCTCGGCCCTCTGCAAGCAGGGTGCTGGGCTCAACCCTGTGGGCACCCGCTGTCGGCTCACCCCTCTCCTTCCAGGTGGGTCTGACACCCTTGTGGATGCCTCCATGAACACAACGCCGACCTCGGTGCTGGCCTTGTCACAGGCAGAGGAGCGCTCCAGCTGGTCGGGCAGCCAGCAGACCGTGGTGGAGAAGGAGATGGATGCCAGCCTCTCCGCACGGGGACCCTACCTCCGTCCCGCTGCGTGGCAGCAGCCCCAGGGAACCCCAAGGCAAGCAAACACGCCGGCCCCGCTCGGCGCCGAGGTCCGGCACCTGGGCGTGGAGCCACTGGTGCGGGCATCAAGGGCTAATCTGGTGGGCACGAGCTGGGGGTCGGAGGATAGCCTTTCGGTGGCCAGTGACCCGTACGGCAGCGCCTTCAGCCTGTACCGAGGACGGGCGCTCTCGCTCCACGTGTAAGTAGTCGGGGACGCGCACGGAGGGGACGTCGCGCTGGGGCCATCTCCTTCCAACCCCCGCAGCCATCTCCTCCTCTCCGCCTGGGCTTTCTTTGCCTGCACCCTGCCCCACTGAGGAATGGGGGGTCTGAGCAGTAGGCAGCCTGTTCCCGGTGAGAAGGTGGGTTGGTACAGGCCTTTGGGTGAGGGGCTATACGTGGAGTGATGTCCCTTTCTGCTGTGGCCAGGTTGGGGCTGGGGGTAACCCCTGTGCCACTGTAAGATCTGCAGCTTTCCTGCAAGTTGTGCCGTGGGTGTCCTCCTGTCCTGCCCAGCCACAGGGGCTCTGCACAGCCCAGGGTGTGGGGATCTGGGGCTGTGCGGCAAACTGGGACACCTGCTGGCAAGGCTCTGCCACCTGAAGTTCCCATCACACAGGGGTGGCAGCAGAGGCCTGGGACATGCTGCCTCCTCAGGACCTGCTGACATGCTCAGAGCCCTCATCCCTCCCCATCACCTCTGGTCCCCATTCCTGCAGGCCTGGCTCCTTCGACCTTCATCCTGCCCCTTTTTGTTTTCAAGGCTGCTTGTTCCACCAGAACTTCATCTCCACCTTATGATTTCTGCACCACAAATGCTCCTCTGGGGGAAGAGGGGTGGGGGGAGGTACCTGCAGCAGCATGTGTGCAAGGGGGATTGTAGCCTTACGGACCCCCTTCACTTTGCAGAAGATCTGGCCTGTGTCACACTGCCCTGGCACACCAGGGAACCTTGGCAAACTGGAGCACTCTTTGGGCCACAGTCCTGGGTGGGGCCTTGCTGGATATCCCAGCATCACCCCAGTGTCCCACATAGATACACTTGGGCAAGTGGACACCCTATGTCACAGCAGCCCAGGACTCTCATTCAACGCATCTGGTTCCTTCTGGTCTCTGGGTGTCCAGATTAACTCACCAGGGCCCCTCAAGGCTCCTCAGGCCTGGGGCTGCCCTGATCACCCTTTGCAGTGCCCCATCGGGCACCACGGCGTGCGCTGGGAGCAGGGATGCAGCCAGGTGGTGACAGTGGGCTCTAAGCCATGCTCCTCTGTCTCTTTCCC